TATATGCTGCAGACCAAGCTGTTGCCATCACTGGAGAGCAGATCAGAATATTTGTATTTTCACTGCTACAAAATATTTCTTAATGTTCTTCAACGATTTAAAGAGTACGTGATCAAAGTGATTGCTGTATAGTGGGTTACTCTAGTCTTGTTTATGCGTAGTAGTTAACATTATACGAGGGGGATGGTGTTAGAAATTCGAACCGTCTGGATGATTGTCAGGAATGCTGAGCTACAAGGTTCTTTGTTGTCCTTTCAACAGTGCTTTCCACGTGTGTCTGGCATAGCGCCATATAACAGCACAATGTGTTTAATGTGTCACACTTTTAAACTGTAGGTTTGAAAACCTCACTGGCTGAGAAACTGACACATGCCAAGCTTTTCAGTCAACACATTTAGGACATGATTAGGATTTTCAAGCTTAGTGCTTAGATACCTTTTAGTATATTTAATATGAATGTAATTCTATGTCTTTGTTGATTGTCACAGGCTGATTTATGGAATTTCTTTTCTTGTATACTGAATTGAGAAGGTTTTGTATTTGTATTAGAGACAAAATCTAACTTCATATTATGTTGTCTGTAGTTTGTAATTTTTTTTGTTTCGATTTATGCACAGGTTGGGCCCATGTGGTTTGTGCACTTTATATTCCAGAGGTGCAGTTTGCAAATGTTACTACAATGGAACCTATTGTACTACAGTACGTTCCTCATGAACGCTTCAACAAGGTAATTTAAATTATTAAATCAAAAACAAAATTACACTAATTTTCGGTGGTTTAAAATATGAGCCTACAAATGCACACTTGCAAATAAACTGTACCATGCTTGAATTTTAGGGCTATCAATAACTATTCATCTTGGTTACTGCTATTGGACTAGTTTTTGGCTTGCATTTTGAGGATTCTGTTTGTTTGTTTTTCTTCCATTATGTAATGTGTAGGAACAACTAAGTTTCATAATTTGATGCGTTCTGGGATATGGCATTATTTGTTCTATCTTATTACAGGTGGTCTTCCTGTCTCTCGACATATTTAGTCTAGTGGCTCAGTGGGTATCCTCACCATTTTGAAATTTGTTACAAATCAGGCCTTGTAAGTTATTGAGTAGTTATTCTCAAATTTGTTCCCATATCTGAGAGAGAAACGTAAGTTAGGAAACTTAAATTACCAGCCACACTGCATTTCACTCCATTATTTACTAAAATGCACTCCCATGGCCACCTTGAGCATCTGTCTGGCATCATCCCCCAGAATTGGGCCCAGTACTGCACTGTCTGTATGTTTACATTAAAAAAAAACTCTCCTGAATACGTTTCAAAAAATCTTCTACTTATTCCCATACCTTTACACTATGTCTATCTCAATTAATGTTGAGAAAGTTGAAATCACCTAATATAATTACCCATTTGTTATTTTTACAAATCTCAGTAATTTGTCTACTTATCTGCTCCTGTACTGCCCACTGTTCGTTCGGTGCCTATAAAATACTCCTAAGCAGTATGCCTGCCCCTTTTTTATTCCTGTGTTTACCCACAAAGCCTCATTTGAAGACCCTTCTAAGACATTGTCCCTCCTTACTGCAGCAACTGACTTCTTAATTAAAAATGCAAAAATCCCTTTTTTATAATCCCCTTGTCCTGCCTGAAGATTGTATACCCTGGAATGTTGATTTGTCAGTCAGTCTGCACCCCCTCCCCAAAAAAAACACATCTGTGGTAGCAGCATCGCAATTCCATGTGTCAATCTGTGCCTTCGACTTGTCTGTCTTATGTATAGTAATCCCAGCTTTAAAGTAGAGGCCATCCAGCCTCGTGTCGTTCCCGAGAAACTCAATATGGCTGAACTTCCTCTGCCTTGGGTTCCTTTTGCTAACGTAATGTGTCCCTGTTGTCCTAATGCTGTCTCTCCTGCCCCTGCCACAATTTTAACAGGGCTTATGTTGATAATTAATTGTGAAATTCAAAAATCATTAATTGAGTGTGGAGTATGGTGTGTGTATTTTGTAATAAACTTGTTTTAATGAGTTTCCCGTTACGCCAATGTGGTCCAAGATCAGACTTGGGGACTTGCTCTTTTTCTTCCATTCAAGTTGTCTGTACATCCAAAACAGAAGCATGTAAGAAGCAGCAAGTAATGAGATTTAGAAAGCTTTGGATTTTTATAAATAACTGTATCATACAGCAAAAAAAAAATCAAAGGAGAGAAACCAAAGAACTGAGAGTGTTGGAAGTCAGAAATTGCTGGAAAAGCTTGGCAGGTCCAGTATCATATGTGGAGAGAAAGCAGAGTTAATGTTTTGGACCCAATGGCTCTGCTTCAGAACGAGTAGCAGTTTGAAAATGATTAATTAGGAAATTATGCAGAAGTGTTCATCAGATGTGGAATACATTTCCAGGTAGGACATTGAAGTTCAGAAGATAAATTAATTTAAGAAATTCTAAGATGGAGGATAAAATAAAAAGAATCTCTGGAGATGAAATCAAACAGAGGAGGACCGCGGACTTTGTTGTCCTATTCCTCTGTTAAAATCTTTGAGGTTTAATATTTTATTCAAATAGTGCTACCTAATATTGCCTATGCAAGTGTGTGCTTTGAGCTTCCTAGCAAAATTAAATCTGCCATCTAAGTACTTCGACCTATTAACTACCATTAGTGATTAAATCGATATTGATACTGAGCATTTTATATTTGTTAAAAATGATTGATTTATAATAAAACATTTTATTTTCAACCTACCTTTCAAAAAGTTTGTTATTTACATGGCTGGTTTCATTTGTAGAAGAGTTTTTAAAAAAAAAACCCAACATTTTAGGTCATTTAATGTTTTTGTTTATTTTAGTCAGGTAAGCACTAGCAGTTCCAGGTTTGATACACTGTTGAGAGTGATGTATCATATTCACTGGAAAAGCATTGCCCTGATATAGTGATAGTAGGAACTGCTGATGCTGGAGTGTAGAGCTGGATGAACGCAGCAGGCCAAGCAGTATCAGAGGAGCAGGAAAGCTGACGTTTCAGGTCGAGACCCTTCTTCAGGAATGGGGGAGGGGAAGGGGATTCTGAAACAAATAGGGAGAGAGGGGGAGGTGGATAGAAGATGGATAAAGGAGAAGATCGGTGGAAATTCCTTTATATTTTCTGCTGATGCTACCTGACTCGTTGAGTATTGGCAGCATTTTAAAATGTTTTTTTCACCCCATCTTTGTTGCAAGTTTTTATGTACCAACTAAACTTAGAAGCACATCAGTAGAATTGGGAGAGACTTGGGAAAGTATCTCACTTTTGTAGAACTTTGAAGCTCATTTGCTGCAATGTGGCAGAAAAGATGGCAGTCTTCTCCCAGTTTTGGCCAAGGGCTGTCTTTGATCTAGCCATTCAAAATTGGTAGTTTCTTTTGCTTTTTTTTGGTTGTGCAAGTTTTTATTTATTTCTCTTGATGGCAGTTGTTGACCTTGTTTACTTTGGTATTTTTGAAACTGCATGCTTCTGGAAAAGAGTCTCAACATTCTAGGATGTTAGGTGTCCGAAGCATTTTCAGTAATAATAGTAACAGATAATTAATATCTGGCTATGTTTTTTACAGTTTAACATGGCATGGATGTTTCTGGCTAGGTTAGCATTTCTTGCCCAACCCTAATTACTGTTATGGTTGTGCTGAAGTGCTGCTGAAGTCCTTGGGGCACAAGTACACTTGCAATGCTGTGAAAAAGTTTCATGATTTTGATCAGCAACACTGTGACCATGAAATGTAGAGCAGAAGTAGGCCATTTGTCCATCGAGTCTGCTCTGCTATTTAGTGATAACTAATGATCATACAGGTTCAAGTCAGAATGGTGTGTGTCTTAGAGAAGACCACTATCTGCCTTTTCTGGGTTTTGATTGAAATTGACCCAGATTCTTGGCCCTTGAACACTGTTAAATCCTCCATTGGTAATATGGTATTTTATGATGGAGATATTTGATCTACAGTGTCTGTGTCATCAAAGGAAGACTGGAAAACAAAATCTATTAATAATAGATATATTGGAGCAAAAGGACTGACCAATTAAATAGCTATTTGAGTCTAACTAAAATATTAATAGGGTATTTTTATCTCTCCATTTTTATACTCTTTTTCACGAGGCACAGATGCTTGCTGGAGTACAGTTTGATGCGTGCCAAGGCCCTTTTACTTCCTTATCAAACTGACTATTCTTGACATGTGAACTTGGTCGGTATTAGCTTCCTGGAAGTATTACAATCAATTGCAATTCTGTTTCCCTCATCTGCACTGGGATTTGGAAACCTAGCTGATTTGAGAAGTGCTTAAACTGCCATAGAAGAAATATTAAAATGAATCTAATTGAGGTTGCTAAAATTGTGAAGAATATTGACCAGGTGGAAGTAGGACAAGCTTTGTCTGCCATAGGGCCATTTAAAACGCAGGGATTTTCTATTGAAGTTCAGATAAAGCTAGTTGAAAGCAAATCCAATTTTTCAGAACAAGATTTTTCTTCCATAAAACTGTGCAGCACAGGAGGCGTTTTGGCCCACGATGTCTGTGCCTACCGTGATGCTATTCCAAACTAATCCCATCTGCTTCTGCATGATCCATATCCCTCTATTCACTGCCTGTTCATGTATCTGTCCAAATGCCTCTTAGGCTTTGCTATCGTGTTTGCTTCTACCACCTACCCTGGGAGTGTTTTCCAGGCTTCTACTACCCTCCGTGTTTGGAACAAAAACTTTCTTCACACATCTCCTTTTAAACATTTCCCTATTTCACCTTAAACCTATGACCCCTAGTATTTGTCATTTCTGTCTGGGAAAGAGACCCTGACCATCAGCCCTGTCCTTGTCCCCCCCTTATTTTATATACTTCTGTCAGATCACTCTCCGCCTCCGATACTCCAATGAAAACAACCCAAGTTTGTCCAACCTGTCCTTGAACCTAATACACTCCAATCCAGGCAACATTCTGGTAAGTTTTTCTTTAAACACCCTCTCCATAGCCTCCACAACCTTCCTATGCGCAGTGATCAAAACTGCACACTGTACCACAAATGTGGCCTGACCAAAGCCTTATACAGTTGGATCATAACTTGCCAATTTTTACACTCGCTGCCCTGAATGGTGAAGGCAAGCATGCCCTATGCCTGCTTTGTCACCTGATTCACTTGTGTTGGCACTTGCGGGAGCTGTCGACTTTGACCCCAAGATCCTTCTGCATATCAATACTCCTAAGGGTCCTATCATTTACAGTATATCTTCCTCTTGCATTTAACTTCTGAAAATGCATCACCTTACACTTAGCTAGATTAAACTTCATTTGCCATTTCTACTCCCAACTTTCCAGCTGATCTGTATCCTGCTGCATCCTTTGATATCCTTCCTCACTATCCACAACTTCACCAATTTTTATGTGACCTGCAAACTTAATCATCAGACAATTACATTTTCATCCAGATCATTTACAAACATAAATAATCCTTGTGGGACACTAGTGGTCACAGACCAGCAGTCAGGAAGACACCCCTCCGCAACTACCCTCTGTGTTCTATGACCAAGCCAATTTTGTATCCAACTTGTCAACTCACCATAGATTCTATGTGATTTGATCTTTTCAGGGAACCTTGTCAACTGCCTTGCCAAAGTCATCACTTCCTCAAAAAATCTCAATCAGGTTTGTGAGACAAGATCTCCCCTGCATAAAGCTATGCTGACTATCCCTAATAAGTCCATTTATCTTCA